GTGAAAGAATACATTGACGGGGAAGGGGGTAGCAATAAAGATTACACCATTAAACTGTTACACAACATAACAGAAATAATATCGATAGCAGCGTCCCTAGCAACCATCTTGGTAACTGTAGGAGCCATATGTTAAAATGTATATTTGAATATTATTATCCTTTGTTGTTAGTGCTATTATATCATTTATTGAAACCAGCCGTGTGAAATTAACGGCATAGACGACCGTAGCTGTTCGTGATTACGAGACGCTATAGCCGACGGCAGCTGCTGGTGATTGGTGTGTGTGAGAAGGAGAAAGAAGCACCGAGCAACATAGTTTTTTGAGCTGAGGAAATATGTGTTTGTATTTGGTACCTTTTTGTTAAAGTAAAGAGTCAAGCAAACTATCCTAAGACGTATCTTGTCCGAGTCATGCTTATTTGCTAACTGTGAGCCGAATTTTGGATTACTGGAACTACAGTAACAATGAAAACGTTGTATCGACACAATTTCCTGAAGTAATCTTCGTAATAACTAGCAAACTAAAGATCATGTACATCCACTGCACACATAATCTGAAATAACAACTCATATTTATCGCATCAAATGACATCAAAACGCATTTTAATGGCCAAACTAACTTTAAAATAGGCATTTTACACCGAGAATAAATGAAGTTCGGCCATGTTTTTTTTTTTCTGCAGGGAGAAATGTGAAGATCACGTGACATAGACGCCAGCCATTGGAATTAATGGTGAAAAAAAACGTAGGGATCTTACAATTTCAGAGGCGTTACACGTTTTTTTATGAGACTGGGTTGAACTCTCTGATACCACCCAATGAATGCACTGACTTGCTTGTAGAACCACGCAACACAAAGCAGATAGCAACACCTATAAAAACTTAAGCATATACATTTCAAAAAAGGGTCTACTGTATCGACATTTTAAAATTATATTTAAAGAAAAGACCCTGACAAAACAGCAGGGCTCTATTTCAGTAACTATTAACTATAGAAAAAAAGACAGCTGATATCAAATCTTTGCTGAGCCTAAGGATAATCATAAATAAATAACATAGTGAAAATAAATATATTGCAATGCTCAAAACAGCAGCATCCAACAGTCTTTAATCCTTGAATATTACATGTCACTGCATGCATGCACGCAGCTGTAGCGCGGAGATCATCATCATCATCATTCTGCCTTGTATTACTTAACAATAAACGGCTCGTTCGCGCCGGCGCATCACTACTTCTACTGAAGCCTTCCGAGTAAATCGCCAGAACGCCGACACCTCCTCATCTCCACCGCTCCCATGTTTTCTTTTGTGTTGCCATAAGTTAGTCTCTCTGCGTTTCTGCGCTGGGCTAATGCTAATAATGCTAATGCGAGGATAATAAAATGGCAGCTTCACAAAACTTTTTGGGAGTTTTATGGGGCGTGGTTTGCAATCCGCCCAGCCAATCAGAAATAGGAACCGTTTTCTCCCACGAAAGTCCCTGCTCTCTAGCAGGGACGGAAAAGGGGGTAAAAAGGTTCTGATGAAGTAATTTTAGTTCCAGATTTTTTTGGTGTGAACGCAACATTTCGGAACTATATCGGAACTAAAGTGGGAAAAGTACTGCGGTGTGAATGCGCCTAATGTAGTCTTAGTTGTAGTCTTTAGACAGAAATTCATATTAGTTTTTGTCACATTATATACATTTTCATCCTTATAGTTTTAATCTAGTTATAGTCGACACAATTCCTAATGCTATATTCAACGTTAGTCTTTCATTTTAGGCAAAAAATTTATCTTATAATTTTTTCATCTTTGTTATTACCTATTTAGTCTTTGTTCTGTTTCAAATGTTCTTTTTAGTCATCTGAAGGAACAGAAGGAACTGTATGAGGTACAATGCTTACTCATATCCAGGTTTTAGGACTCATTCCTTAGCGTTTAATGGCGTCGTGTCATCCTCACGTCTTTGTTTCACCTGGTTGACAGTTGCCTCAGCAGCAATGTAGAAAGTGCCGAATGTAGACATTGCTTTCAAGAATCAATCTGCAAAATTGAAAATCATGTTTGTGATAAATATCTCATCCTTGTATAATATTTTTTTAATACAGTGGGGCAAAAAAGTATTTAGTCAGCCACCAATTGTGCATGTTCTCCCACTTAAAAATATGAGAGAGGCCTGTAATTTTCATCCTAGGTATACCGCAACTATGAGAGACAAAATGAGAAAAGAAATCCAGAAAATCACATTGTCTGATTTTTAAATAATTTATTTGCAAATTATGGTGGAAAATAAGTATTTGGTCAATAACAAAAGTTCATCTCAATACTTTGTTATATACCCTTTGTTGGCAATGACAGAGGTCAAACGTTTTCTGTAAGTCTTCACAAGGTTTTCACACACTGTTGCTGGTATTTTGGCCCATTCCTCCATGCAGATCTCCTCTAGAGCAGTGATGTTTTGGGGCTGTCGCTGGGCAACACGGACTTTCAACTCCCTCCAAAGATTTTCTGTGGGGTTGAGATCTGGAGACTGGCTAGGCCACTCCAGGACCTTGAAATGCTTCTTACGAAGCCACTCCTTCGTTGCCCGGGCGGTGTGTTTGGGATCATTGTCATGCTGAAAGACCCAGCCACGTTTCATCTTCAATGCCCTTGCTGATGGAAGGAGGTTGTCACTCAAAATCTCACGATACATGGCCCCATTCATTCTTTCCTTTACACGGATCAGTCGTCCTGGTCCCTTTGCAGAAAAACAGCCCCAAAGCATGATGTTTCCACCCCCATGTTTCACAGTAGGTATGGTGTTCTTTGGATGCAACTCAGCATTCTTTCTCCTCCAAACACGTCTAGTTGAGTTTTTACCAAAAAGTTCTATTTTGGTTTCTTCTGACCATATGACATTCTCCCAATCCTCTTCTGGATCATCTAAATGCTCTCTAGCAAACTTCAGACGGGCCTGGACATGTACTGGCTTAAGCAGGGGGACACGTCTGGCACTGCAGGATTTGAGTCCCTGGTGGCGTAGTGTGTTACTGATGGTAGCCTTTGTTACTTTGGTCCCAGCTCTCTGCAGGTCATTGACTAGGTCCCCCCGTGTGGTTCTGGGATTTTTGCTCACCGTTCTTGTGATCATTTTGACCCCACGGGGTGAGATCTTGCTTGTTTGTAGGTGACCAAATACTTATTTTACCGAGGAATTTACCAATGAATTCTTTAAAAATCCTACAATGTGATTTCCTAGATTCTTTCCCCCCATTCTGTCTCTCATAGTTGAAGTGTACCTAGGATGAAAATTACAGGCCTCTCTCATATTTTTAAGTGGGAGAACTTGCACAATTGGTGGCTGACTAAATACTTTTTTGCCCCACTGTAAATAAATGACTCTTACCCTTGCATCATCACTACTCAGAATGTCATCTTCAAACTTTGTGACAATGAACACATTAAGGGGTCCTTTCTAGGCAAGTTGGTTACATATTGGGTAAATGATTGGAGAGTCTCAGCCCTGAGGGAGGCAGTCCTCAGTCACAGTGGTGGTCCCGTCCCTTTGTCTCTGCCACACGCCGCTGCAGCTTCAGTAATGCTGTTGTTGCTTCTGTAGAGCAGAATATTCCACCAGCTGCCTTTCAAAGCTTCATTTGCCTGTGGTGCCAGGTGAGGGGCCGCATTACAATAATGGCATTAGCATATCAACTCGCCCTCTGCTATTGGAGGGCTGGAATACTAACCTCATAGAACAAAGGGCTATTTGCCAATTCTGGAATTAATTTCATCCGGTTTACCCCACCTCACGTAGAAGGAGCGGCCAGATTGGATTTGTATTCAAATGGAAGCCAGTGTCCGTCTGATTCGGCACAGGAGGCCAAATCATGGGAGTGACATAATTGCACTCAGTCCTTCCTCTGTTTGTCTGAGGCGGCCTCCATGCAGGCACCCACCAGCCAGGGGGAGTGTGCATCACTGTGTGTCTGCTTGTGAGCACACAGTTAATGAAATCGGAATAACCGCTACTGAATCTGAATAATGTGAATAATATCACTTCCACCCACCTGCCTTGCTGCTTCTATTCTCAAGCGCCTGGCTGTTATAATAATAATAATAATAATAATATAGCTTTACACGTAAAGCACTTTTCAGACACCAGGTGCAGCTCAAAGTGCTATAACAACATGGCACACGTCACAAATTAACTCACTCCAGGTCACACGGTAACACCTTTTTGCAAACATGCAGCATAGCAACATGATATAACAGTGTAAGGGGCTTCTGCAATAATTAAAACCACAAACCATTACTCCATGAATGCAGGAACAAACTCTCCATGAGGGTTTCATAAGAATACTTGTTCTGTATTTAAACCTACAACAAGCTCAGCTGCTGTCTTTATCTACTGCAAAGCCACCAACAGCAAAGACTGAGAACAGGACATTTACAGCTGCCATAACATTTGACAGCTAGGGTCTTTTATTCAGGTGATTATTAGTAGCCATTATGTGAAACCGGGCAATGGCACTTAAAAAGCTGAATGAAATGTGGCCATGATTAATGAAAAAATAAATAAATAGGGGGCGCAAGGAGGTAAAAGGTATGATAATACAAATAAAATACAATAAAATAAAATAAAGGAAGACATAAGACTAAATGAATAAATAAAATAAAATATAAAAACCTATAAATTAAATAAATAAATAAAACAATAAAAAATCTAATAAGACTAATAAATACTAAGAATAATAAAGGTTAAAATACCAACTTAAAAAGGAATGTTTCTAAACTGTAAAATAAACAAGTAATGAACATAATACATTATACTATATAATATAGTAATAAGTAAAAACCTATAAAATAAGTCAATATATAATAGAGATTAAAAGACCATTTAAAAGTGGTGTGTCGCTCATAAAAGCTCATCTAAAAAATATGTGTCTTTAAAAATGTCCACTGCGTCGGCCTCTTGGATATTTCCTGGTAGGGTTTCTAACCAAATGTTTTAAGTATCGATGTCGTCTTTTTTAGCAGAGTTAAAGGAGGTGCGGCCGAGGAGAGGAAGGGAGCTGTGGAGGGGCGAGCGGGGGCTCTTCGTCCAGATGTGGCCTACAACCTGTTGCACACACTGTTCTTTGGCCTCCTGGCTTTCAGCACTATGAGGTGAGCCCACGGTCATGTCATTAGAGGATCATGTACCCACACTTATGTGAATCAACACATTTTCCCATGTAGACACTTTGTTTTTTTCCCCCAGGCGGGGACTCTTGAAATGTACTTTTCCTCTTCACGGCGTAGATTCTTGATTGCGCACACTTGTGAGCACATGCTGGAATCCTGGAAAATGCCTCTTACATGCTTTTCACAGAGCGTCTGAGTGTGCCACTAGAGCCTTGATCAGCCCTCACATGCAACACCCTGAGTCTCTCAGAGAGTGACACCACTCACTGCAGGAACAGGGAGAGAGCGCACAGTTGGACAACACATTCCAATCAGAATGTTGCGTCTATGTTATTATCTATAGTTGCTCGTCATAGTGGCATTATAAAGGAGAAAACTTTGGAAGCTAACTGCTACTTTAGCTTCAGTTCAGGTATCTGTTAGCTGTTAGCCGCACACATTGTCTAAAATGGCCCAAACTGGAACAGAGGCTCCAACAGGCTGGATAAGAGGAGTGATGAGTCAGCATTTATTGAGGATGAAAAACAATCAATAAAATATTTGTATCAAAACGTAAATCGAAACAAGCACCACCCATTATCCTTGAGCATACAGCAATGTTTTTAAAGCTGATTGGTCCATTTGTGACATATCCAGAAGAAATATCACATGTGTACAAACTCAAGCACACACAGAGGAGATTATAATTTACTAAACACAATGTCACACAATGTTGCTTTTGTGTTTTTGAAAAGCTAGAAAGAGAAACCTCACGCTGACTGCTTACCACGGTTCCATGCACAAAACATCTGCATGAGGAAAAATCCAAAGCTTGTAGAGTCTGCAGTGATCACACTATGGCTGTTTCGGGGGCAACTTTAGCAAACACTTGACTATGGTCACAACACCTGAACTGTACTTAAAGCACCCTGATGAGATCATTTGTCAATATAGACACAGTGTGCAATATTGAAAGATGCAGTTACATGTAATCAAAATATATTCTCTATTTATTGAATTGCTCACCCTGTCATTATCTGCCATTAGCTGCTGGGACATGCTGCCGCTTGACACATTTTCTCTTATTGGTCACACCAGGACTATGACAGCCAGGCAATATCAACTGACCGGCCTCGACCTCTGCCTCCATGTTCCACTCACACTGAGCATTACAAAGAGAGACTGCACTGTGTTCTCTTGAACAGATATTAGTTTGTGTTTCTTTAAACATAATAATGTCCATGTTTCTGTTAATTTAAAAGAGTAATATTCCCTTGCTGTAGTGAAGTAAAAGTGTACTCTTCAAATGTGTTGCAAATCTCAGTGGTTGATTGTTGAAGTTGATAGGTTTGGATACAACTGCTAACCACTAATGTATACTCAGCTTGTTTTCCTGATGACCTAATAAACTGACATTAAAGTGGTTATTACTGGGAGCAGAGCTATCCACAGATATCTCCTCCTCTCCAAAACAGACTCGATGATTTAAACTAGTACAAACTGTGAATACAAATATCTGCAAATTAACAACCTCTCTTCATTTAAGTCAAAAGTAATTTTGTGTCCAAATGATGACTGACACAGGAGTGTAGTACCACCACTTGGCCTCTATGACAAAATGCTTCAACACCCTGCGCTCTTCCTGGGTAGCACCTCTTTGTAATTATTGTAAGGACCCGGACCCCCCTTTAATATGTACTTCTAAAGTGCCACTCCTTCGAGCATCATCAGTACATTTCTCGGGTTGAGCCCAATCTAAGCAGCAATCACAGTCTGCCAATCTCTACATCCACAATTCATTAGTATAAAAGTATAATCATTTAACATTAGGCTCTTATAGGTCAAGAACATAATAGATTACTATTGGAATCCTCACCTCTTTTCCCATATAATAAAAAACGGGCTAAGTACATGCATGTGGAAGAAAAGCCAGTATCTGTTGTATTCACAGAAACATGGAGAAGCAAGCTTACCAAGGTTCACTTAAGTAGCTTCATTTAAATTAGGTTGTGTAGCCAGCAGCTGGCTGAGGTTTCTCTGTGCATGTTAATGCTTCATATTGTGTTTTCATCCTAATCCCAGTTTATATAGTGGGCAGGATTTAGAGATGTACTGTACATTCAATATACACTGAACAAAAATATAAATGCAACACTTTTGTTTTTGCTCCCATTTTTCATGAGATGAACTCAAAGATCTAAAACATTTTCTATACACAAAATAACCATTTCTCTCAAATATTGTTCACAAATCTGAACAAATCTGTGATAGTGAGCACTTCTCCTTTACCGAGATAATCCATCCCACCTCACAGGTGTGGCATATCAAGATGCTGATTAGACAGCATGATTATTGCACAGGTGTGCCTTAGGCTGGCCACAATAAAAGGCCACTCTGAAACGTGCATATTGGGGGGGTCTGGGGGTGTCCGAAAACCAGGCAGTATCTGGTGTGAGGGGTAGCGGTAGGGTTAGGGTAATGTTGTGAATCGAGTGGCCTGTGTTCGTCGTCCATTACATACGCCTGCCCATACCATAACCCCACCACCACCATGGGCCACTCGATAGTCTGCATAGGCTAACATCCCTGTGTTCCCTCCAGAGGGAGTTTCTCTCCCACACACACATACTGTACACACAACCCCCCACCCTGCCTGAAACGCATCCTACGTTTACTTCCTGAACATAGCGACAGCACAGGCAGTATGAGAAAAATAAAGACCTTTTTAAACATTGAGGCATGTAAACATGTCACAGTAGAGACACTAAATACTGATATGAACCTGAAAATGAGCAGAAGATCTCCTCTTTAAGGTACATGCCTAAAAGCAGAATAACATTACATATGCCTTGCATACACTTCAATATTCTACACCTAAAGAAGCAAGTTGGAGATAAGTATTTCCAACAACACGTTAACTGCAGGGGCTGGGAGTCGAACCACTGACCCTCTGATTGGTATACGTGTATTTATCCCCTGAGCGACAGCCTGCCTTACAATGGAGAATAAAACCCACAGAATCACATGCCTTTACTACTTTAAGAACAGAAGTGAACTGTTAAAAAGTGGAAACTTAACCAGCCAACACCTGGATATTGTCTGTCTCCCACTCTCTCCCCAGGATGAAGTACATATGGACGGGCCATATGTGTGCGGTGGCAGCCTACGGTGTGTGTGGGAAGGAGCTGTGGACGCTGCTGCTCAGCACCCTCAGGTGCAACAGTAAAGTTCTGGTACGAGATTTAAAGTACTGCTCACTATCAGCTCTGAACACGTGTTTGTTTATTTTCCTTTTTTGATATGAAAAACCTGATATTAGTCTGGACTTAAGATATTTCATTACACACGTCTGCTGGAGAAGCTGCACTAATAGATATGTTTCTATTAGCAAAGGATCAATTGCTTGTGTGTATGTCAGAGCAGTCAGCTCTAAGGAACTCAAAGTCTCTAAGCTCTTTGGTTTGGGTCAAAATGCTCATACACGAGACAAACACAAATATCATTGTTAGGGTGAGTGAAGCAGGCAGGTAGTGATGGCAGTTTGACACTGAAGCTTCGAACGGAGCTTCAACCCTGGACTTCCTACAGTATTCCATAGAAGCAGTGCTTCGAAGCTTGCTTCAAATCACGTGACATATGACGTCCGAACCAGCAACTGCTTCATTTCCTGAATCAACTCACTGGTTCGCCGTCCAATCAGGTGATTCAATGCACTGCCTCGTCTCGATTCTGACTGGTTGAAACTGTTTGAATTTGAGCGTCACTTAGTAAGTGACACTTTCTAACCGCTCAAAAAAATGCACAATTTGGCAATCTGTGGGATTGTCGTCGTAGTTTGCCTTGTTGCTGTTGAGTTGTTAGTATTGCGTTTGGATCATTATGGAGCCAGCCTGGAAGAGAGGTCGTTCTGAGATGTGGGATCATTTCAATCTGATTGCGCATGATAAGGTAGGTCAACTACAGTATTATAGCTATGGTTTATCTCAAATCTATATTAAGTAGCATTCAAGTAAAATTATGTATATGATCAATGTAGCATTTTTATTTACAAATGCCTTTCTCTACAGGTCCAGTGCTTGGTGTGTTCAACTGAACTGAAGTATCATGAGAATACTTCCTCCATGATTAGGCACTTCACTGCCAAACATGGAGCTGCTGTGAACCAGGGGAACATACATGGTATGTATTATATTATTATTAACTAATAACACTAACACAATATGCTATGGCTGTATTCCATGACTCACAAGTCTGCTTCCTTTGAGTGCAATTTCACATAAATCCTTATTTGCTTTTTTTGGTTTTGTTTTTATTAGGGCCGGGACTTTAACGCGTTAATTAAGATGAATTAATTACACAAAAATTAACGCGTTAAAAAAATTAACGCATTTTAATCGCACTTATTTTTGCACCGCGGAACGTTTCTCACTGGATGAGTTTCAGGCGTACCGATTATACTGGAGCACCAACTAACGTTCATGACTTCAGACAACAACAAACCACAGTGAACAACAGTGGGAAATGTTGTTTTAAAAAACGGACGGATGGAAGCGTCGATAAGAGCACGGTTGTGTGCAAATTATGCAAAAAGGAATTCGCATACCACCGTAGCACATCAAGCCTCAAGTATCACCTCAATGCAAAAACATATAGCAGCTAGCGTGGACGTTAGCCTCTTTTATCGCGTTCACACCAAAAAGAGCCGGTACTAAAATGTGTTCATGAGAACCTTTTTACCCCCACGAAAGTCCCTGCTAGAGAGCAGAGAGCTGCTAGAGAGCAGGGACTTTCGTACGGCTCTCTTGTGAGAAAAGAGCTATATTTCTGATTGGCTGGGCGGATTGCAAACCACGCCCCGTAAAACTCCCAAAAAGTTTGGTGAAGCCGCCATTTTATTATCCTCGCATTAGCATTATTAGCATTAGCCCAGCGCAAAAACGCAGAGAGACTAACTTATGGCAACACAAAATAAAACATGGGAGCGGTGGAGATGAGGAGGTGTCGGGGTTCTGGCGATTTACTCGGAAGGCTGCTGGGACTCCCAGCAGCTTCTACTGAAGCCAGTCCCCAACTCCGGGGACTTCCGGCCGGGGACTTTGGGCGGCAGTATACGCCGTGAAGTGGTTTGCGGCCTGCCAGTAAACCCAAAGCAGAAGAAGAAGAAGTGACGTCAGCGGCTTCATTTGCCTAATCCTCCCCCAGGTTCAAAGAGTTCTCATGAACTAAGTTCTCATGAACCTTTGTGGGAAAAGTACCGCAGTGTGAATGCGCCTAATGGTATACTAAAATCCATGTAAAAAATTGCTTCTCACTGTTCTTAGGTCAAATATTTATATGTGATTAAAAATGCGATTAATTTCGATTAATTAATTACAAAGCATCTAATTAATTAGATTAATTTTTTTAATCGAGTCCCGGCCCTAGTTTTTATTCTTTATGTCTTTATTTCTTTGTCTTAGTGGACCGGAAGCGAGAGCTGGAGGGGGCCCTTGTGAATATGGTGGTGAAAGACTCGCAGCCTTTTTCCATCGTGGATGACTGTGGCTTCAAGGAGCTTGTGGCCTTGCTTGATCCTAGATACACTCTTCCATCCAGAGGGGTTCTAAAGGAGATGGTGGTCAAGCGTTATGAGGAGGAGAAGACGAAGGCCAAGGCTGTCATGCAGAGGGTAGAGGCTGTGAGCCTGACTGCTGATATGTGGACCTCCATTAATATGGACGCATATCTAGCAGTGACCTGTCATTATGTGGATGACTCTGCGAAGCTGGCCACAGTGATTTTGGGAGTGCTGCCTTTCCCTGAAGCTCATACAGCGGTTAACATCACTGCTGCAATGAGGTCTCTCATGGAGGAATGGGGCACTGAAGGCAAAGTGACCTCAATTGTGACGGATGCAGGAGTAAATATGGTTGCCTTTGTCAGAAGTTTAAATCTAAGACATGCACTTTGCTTTGCTCATTCACTAAATGTAGTGGTGAAGAAATCTCTGGATGCAACTCCTGGCCTACAAGACCTACGCAAAAGGGCTAGAAAAGTAGTCACGTTCTTTAAAACCAGCACAACAGCAAAAGAGAAGCTCAGAGAAGTGCAGGAGCAGATGAATCGCCCTGTGCTGAAGCTTATTCAGGAAGTGGACACCCGCTGGAACAGCACCTACCTAATGCTACAATGCCTTTTCAAAGAGAGACAGTCAGTGGGGGCAGCTCTTGCGATGCTGAAAACAGACGTGAGACCTCTGTCCTCTGAGGACTAAGCGGACGCATGCCTGCAATTGCTCTCCCCCTTTTTCCAGGCAACAGTAGAACTCTCCGAGGAGAAGAGAGTCTCAGGGTCCAAGATCATCCCAATGACGAACATGTTAATGCTCTACTTGTACGACACAATTGGAAAAACAAGCCACGACACTGCAAAACTACTGGGACAGAACATGGTGTCAAATATGCAAAACAAGTTTGACACCACGGAGAGCCAAACTGCATTGATCCTGTCAACACTGCTGGATCCTAGATTCAAAACTATTGGATTCTACAATCAAGTACAGGCAGCGGCATCAGTTAAACGACTGACAGCATTTTGCAAACAACTGAGGAAAAACGCACAACCTGACACACCTACAGAAGAACAGCCCTCCACATCAGCTCAACCGGCACCAGCAAATGTTGAAAATCCATCATCCACAGGTAATGTTATAAATAGTTAATTGGTAAAATGCAAGACAAAATACTGTAAGTACAAGTAAAAAAGGATACACATTGAAACATTTCAGTACTGATGATTACAGTCATGTTTGTCTTTCAGGTCTTAACCTTTGGGAAACTCTGGACAGAGATGCTTCTGAAGCGAGGACGGCAAGGAATGCCACAGCAGATGCTACAGTGGAGGTGCAGCGGTACATGACTAATCCACCGCTGGAAAGATCGAAAGACCCACTGGCATACTGGGTGGACCATCAAAATGTGTATTCCAATCTGTTCAAACTGGCGAAACAATGTTTATGCATGCCAGCATTATCGGTTCCATCTGAGCGAGTGTTTGCAAAATGCGGGGCAATTGTAAGCAAGAAAATAAATCGACTCAATCCAAAAACTGTTGAAAAAATAATGTTCCTGAATAAAAATCTTTGAGTGTTCCCCATCCCACATGAACACCCCCTGCCAAAGTTACACAAGCGCACCATAACCTATGCCATATTTTCCCAGAACCCTCTCCTCAACACAATACACGCATTCATCCATCTTTATTTGTAAATGATATTCATGATATATACAGTTTATATTTATATACATATATTAATATATATTTATAGTTATATATATATACATATTTATATTTATTTATAGTTCTATATATATATATATATATACATATTAATATACCTATTTCCGACACAATTGTCCAAGTGGTTCGACTGCTTCAAATCACGTGACATGTGACAGTCGAAGCAGCAACTGCTTCATTTCCTGAATGAATCACTTGACTGGTTCGCGGTCCAATCAGGTGATTCAATGCACTGCCTCGTCTCTATTCTGACAGGTGACAGGTTGAAACAGTTTCAAATTTGAGCGCTTCAACACTTTATAACCGCTCTAAACAATGCACAATGTGTGGGTTGTTGTCGTAGTTTGCGTTGTTGCTGTTGAGTTGTTGTTGGTATTGCATTTGAATTGGATCATTATAGAGCAAGCCAGGAAGAAAGATAGGTCGTTCTGGCTCGGGAAACACTTTGAAATGTGGAGAAGTTGTGAACAAAAAGACAATGAGTAATATAAAAACACTTCAATAGTTTCAGGAATAGATAGCCCAGGATGCGGCGGTGTCCTCCGCGCAGCTGGTTCAAAGCCCGGAATAGTTGAACTTTTAATCATTGCTTTTCAACTTTACAACCCGGCTCATGGGCTGTAACATAACACAGGGAGGCGAGACGAGAGGTAAGAATATATAGTTTATTTGTTTCAACACAACACTAAATGGACACCAGCATCAGGTCGCCGAAGCTGGCGCAGAGAGAGTGCCCAAAGGAGTGAGAGCGACGCAACCGGCTGGGCTCCTCCTTTATCCCGCTTCACCAGGTGTAACTCATCAGATAGGCCTCCGCCACAGGTGCGGCTCATCAGCACCTGAAACAACCTGAACAAACCACACACACACACAAACACACGGCACCCCACGTGATGTGGAGGGGTCGTCACACTTTAATAACTGATAAAAGGCCCTCTCCGCCCAAATAAATGTCCAGCACTTTCTAGTCTCTTCTTAATAACCCAATACACACAATTATCAATCTTTAATTGCAAATATAACATGATATTCAGTATTATGGAGCGTCCACACTACAGCTTAAAAAAAAGCTTGGAGCTGGGCGTGTCTGAAGCTTGGGGATTTTATTCGAGCAACGCGACCAACAACCAATCACATGAATCTCCCGCCCCCGACATACAAAGCAAAAAACCCCGGGGATTTTATGCGAGCAATATATATATAAACTCCCCAAACAGGCAAAAACCTACCAGTTTCACCCACCGTCTCTGCCACCTCCCTCCATGACTGGTTCTTCCGGTTTGTATCCCGGTAGGTGAAGAGGGTCTGGGGTCATACAAAACCGGGTGATTTGCTACGGCGATAATTAGTTTCTCCTCCATCTTTTTTTGAAATATAGAAATGAACGGCGGGATATCTCTCCCAGCTTAGACGCGGTTTGATTGGCTAGGGCTTGAGCTGTCAGATTTTCAGAAACGGGATTTGATTGGCTGGCGCTGGCTACTCCGGCGTCTCCGGCATCAGAAGTTGAACATTGTTCAACTTCTGACGCCAGAGACGGCGGAGACGGACCGCTATGCTACCCACAATTCAGTTCGGCGAAAAGCGAGGCAACGTGACGTCACCCCATTCAAAGTGAATGGGCAGACGCGTTGGAAACTGTTTTTGAAGCTGTCGGCGCTGTATTGTGGACGCAGTGTTACGGCCCCTACACACGGCGGCGTGCGTTGCCGCTTCAACGCTTCTGCCCATTCACTTTGAATGGGGTGACGTCACGATTCGCCGAACTGCATTGTGGGAGCAAAGCGTAGCTTCTCTCGCGGTGCTCGCTGCAAAAGTAAAGCAATGTTCTACTTTTGCCGCCTCGACGGAGGCGTCAGCCAATCAAATCCTGCGTATGCAAATCTGACATTACAAGCGCTAGCCAATCAAACCGCGTGTATGTTGGGAGAGCCAGACCGCAGTTATTTCCCATATGTCAAAAAATGGAGGAGAAAATTATCGTGGCGGTACTATATGACCAGTCCCTCTTTACATACAGGGATACAGGCTCCTCCGGTTTGGGGGAGGTGGGGGAGGTGGCAGAGACAGTGGGTGAAACTGGTAGGCTGTTACGGCCCCTATACACGGCGGCGTGCGTTACCGCTTGGCGGTGGGCGTGTCTGAAGCTTGGGGATTTTTTACGAACAACGCGACCAACAACCAATCACATGAATGTCCCGCCCCGGACATACAAAGCAAAGCATTCATGCTACATCCATGCTGGCTAAATATACTGTCTATGCTTGCTAGCTGTCCATTCAAACGAAGTACACTGGCTATAAACTCCCCAAACAGGCGAAAACCTACCAGTTTCACCCACTGTCTCTGCCACCTCCCCCCATGCCTGGCTCCTCCGGTTTGTATCCCTGTATGTAAAGAGGGACTGGTCATATAGTACCGGGTGATTCCCTAACGCCATGATAATTTCCTCCTCCATTTTTTGACATATGGGAAATAACTGCGGTCTGGCTCTCCCAACATACACGCGGTTTGATTGGCTAGCGCTTGTGCTGTCAGATTTGCTGACGCCTCCGTCGAGGCGGCAAAAGTAGAACATTGCTCTACTTTTGCAGCGAGCACCGCGAGAGAAGCTACGCTTTGCTCCCACAATGCAGTTCGGCGAATCGTGACGTCACCCCATTCAAAGTGAATGGGCAGAAGCGTTGAAGCGGCAACGCACGCCGCCGTGTGTAGGGGCCGTTAGTGTGTGCGTGCATCGAATATTTTTCAAGGCAAAGATACGTTAAACCCACTGCAGCCTTGCACCTCGCCAGGAGAGGTCGCTGTAACTGAAGCTTCGAAAAATTAACCTATTTCCGACACAATTGTCCAAGTGGTTCGATGCTTCATTCAAAGCTTCATTTTGCCATCACTACAGGCAGGACCCAAATGCAGAATAAACAGGAAAAAATACCTTTATTTCAAGGATTTTAAGGAACAAAACAGAACACTACCTCGTGAACACAGTCAACAACAAACAAGGAACCAACAATGACAGACAGAAAAAACAGAACTTAATACACACAAGACTAATCACACAAACAAGACACAGGTGAGGAGGGAGGAGAAAACACAGGGGGAACAAGGTGAACACAATCGGGTAATTAGGTAGGAGGGAAAACAGACAGAAAGCAACAGGCAAGAACACTTTTCAAAATAAAACAGGAAACCAAAGACAGAAAAAGACAAGACAACACACAACACAGACAGATTGTGACAATCATGTAATTAACTGATTTTAACTTTTAAAATACATATAGCAATACATATATATGTTATTGCTTATAAATAGTATCTCCATATTTTTAGGAAATGCTGCAAAATACAATAAATATCTCCACATTTAAATGTTTTGTCTAAAATAATAGAAAAGTCTGACTTAACCGTTTAATGTGTATGATCATACCAGCAAGAGCATTCAAGTAAACCAGCTGAGTAATGTGAGCTGGTCTACTGTCAGATTACTGTCACATCAAAACAAAAATAGGTACGAGTATCAGGATTACATTTTTACTGAAGTAAAAGGATCAGATGTTATCTCTTCTCTGTGAGCTGTACTGTTCTGTAGGCTAATACTTTAAGTGTGAATCTATACGCCTACTGCCTGAATCTGCTTCATGGTTTTCACTTTCTTTGCTTCATTTGTTCTGTTTTTACTTCAGCAGGTGAATCTATATGTTCATAAAACAGTGTGTGTGAGCTTAACTGTGTGTTAAACTAAAATGGAGCATTTTCTGTCAGCTCAGATTTGATTTCTGCTTTTTAAACTGTAGTCTGTGCTCATGTGTTTCAGTGTTGGTGTATGGGCTGCTGCCTGAATATGCTGAAGGAAAGACAGGTTTTCCTATCAATAAAATCTCTGAGCAGAGAGATCTTAAATATCTGTGTCCTCTTTTCTATGGTCACACTGTTCTGTTCTCTTACACAATACACTTAAGTAAAAAACATCTCATTGATATTTATTTTGTATTACTTTTATGCTTTCACACACCTATTACTTTTCTTTTTACAGGTAGCAGGTCATTGTAACCCTCCCAACCCTTACCTTTACTCTTCTTCCTGCATTTCTCTGGTGATAACAATAGCAGGGAGGCCACTAGGTGTCAGTGTGGTCCCCAACATCAGTGCAGCGTTAGAGCAGATAATAAATGGAATCTTGTGAGCAGTGCTGCTGTGTGTGTCGGTTATCTCTGTGTTATCTCCCTCTGCTCTGGTCTTCATTTTGAGCTATATCTCTGTCTGACTCTCCCCATTAAATTCTTTCATTTCATTACAGCCGTTTTCTGTCTCTCATGTTGCAGTTAAGGCTTGTCAGATATGCAGTCCCGCTGCTGGTGATTGCTTGCCTGTATTACAAGGTATGCCATGTACTTGCTGTTACTCATGTTCACTGTGTAGTTGGTGTTATTACCGGGGAAAAAACCATACGAGCAAAGTCGAAAAATAAAATGAGGAAGAAAATGAGTAATTGATAACCTGAAATTATTGCTTTCCTATTATTTATCTTTCAGTGGTAAGAGTCAAAATGGCTGTTATATTCTTTACATTATTCAAATGTATTTGAGTAGTGTTTTTTTACGGCCTTAATGGATGCTAACTGTGGCTTTTCCATCACTTGTCTTTGTTTGTTTCTCTCTAGTTCTGGCCTAAGCTGATGGAGGAGTTATCTGAGCTGAGGGAGTTTTATGATCCAGACACTGTGGAGCTCATGACCTGGATTAGGTACACACACACAAACACACACATGCACACACGCACAAATCCGGAGCATGCAACCAATAGAAGCAAATCTGATTATCTTGTTTCAGCAGATCAAGTTTCACTTTGTCTGATGTCCTTGATTAGTCAAAGTGTGTGTGTGAGCGCTTGGATGTGTGTGTGTGTACATGTGTATCGCTTGTTTGCGGGGGAATCTGGCCAGTGAGTGAGTGATGAGAGCCGATGGGCCCCCATGAATAAGACTGGGGGGTGCTGGAGAGGACCCAGCTGTTGGCAGAGCTGCACCCACCTCGGGGTCTCCTCGCCTGGCTTTCACTCAGCGGCGTCCCCCTGATGGAATCAGAGACTTGGAATGGCTCTGTACTGTATCTGTGTGTGTGTGTGTGTGTTGTGTGTGTGTGTGTGTGTGTGTGTGTGTGTGTGTGTGTGTGTGTGTGTGTGTGTGTGTGTGTGTGCACGTCTGTGTGTGGGTGTGTAGCTCAGCAGACTAAATTGAATAGCATGTAGCTATGGAACAAAAGTCTGGACAAGGACACGTCACATCCCGCGCTGCCCACACTAATATTGGTTGTCACTTATCTCTGAACAGACTTTATGGAGGTTGATTGTTCTCAATAGTATTTGTGTGAACAGACATGTGTAATTGAGAAATGTAAGACCCCTACCACAATGCAAAAAAAAGTATATTTTTGTTTCTGGAGAGCACGTGATAGCTGATGACGTGAGAGCATGCACTTTTGTTACTACTAACCTGAACGAATAAAAGTCAGTTTTAAAAAGTCATTGTAAACATTGGTTTAAAATTGGTATTAAGAAGATATTATTGACAGAGACACATTATAAAGACATTTTGACAAATCAATTTCATTTAAGAGTAGCCAGTCAGTGTAATTACGTTTCGGCGTATATTTGTTAAAAAGTGCTGCCTTAAGCACTTTTTAAAGATAGACACAGGTTAAGGCTATTTTATTATGTGATAACGTCCTGGTTCAGTGTCAACGACGAATGTAATCCAGCCTGTCATAACACTCTCCAAGTAACAGCCACAAAAGTTCACCAAAGTGTTTGTGCTCATACCAAAGTTCTTGACACACCTCAGAACGTTTCTGTTGTGCCTTCTGCAGTTGTTCTCATCGCAGTTTGTTGTTAGATCTTCAGCTTCTCTCCCGTCAGGGTTCCAGCAAATCGTAAAAAGTGTTGGGGCATCAAATGGATGGTTTTAATCTTTATTACAACTTCTTCAATCCATCTTTTGAACGTCCTAAAAAAAGACGCTATATTGGAAGTTGCATTTTTGCAATTTGAGTACAAAAAGTAATCGGTAACATTTATCTGTTAGATAATTCACTTTATGCCTCTAGCATTAATCCCACAGGAAATTCACTGATATTAAATGTTGTATTAACTCTTCTCGTGTTACATTTTTGTTCACATTTAAAAGGAAATTATCCTAATGTTTCATTGGATAATCAACCTATATATCGTATGTGTATATATATATATATATATATATATATAGATACTGTATACTCACTCGTCATTCACTCATCAAGTGAAGACATTAGAATTATAAATAACAAAAGATAATGTTTTATTTTGTATATATATTTTTATTTAATTAATAGTCTTTTTTCATTTAACATATATATATATATATATTTTTTTATATTCATATTTTGACTATGATGTACTTTTGTATATCAGTGTAAATTAGGAGTAAAGCAGTGAGATAGGCGACTAGCATTGTGGCTCTGAGGCAGCTGTCGTCAACCAATTGGAAAGCAGCAGCCTCTGTATGAACATGTGTGAATGGGTGAATGCTGAATAAAAAGTCATTGTAAAAGAACTTTGAGCTCAGTCCAGTTACCATTTTCCATAAACAAAGAGAGACCTCTGATATGATGGCGTAATCAGCTGGCCGAGGTTAGCCACTACACAAAAAGTTTAATAAAGGAATGGGAAAAAATGTGTGTCATTCTGTTACAGCAAAAGATCAATGCTCCCATTTTCTTCATTGAAATCAAATGTTTTGCTTAGAGTCCTCACACATGCTTGAAACTGGGTGAGCTAAGACAGTTTTTTACAGCTGATATGAATGGCTGAATGAATAAGATTTCTGAGTGCCATTATTTTCAACTAGTGAAAATCTTTTCCGGGGGAACAAATCGTTTGACTGTGTCTGTGTTTTCCTTCATGTCGTTCTTGTCATCAAACATATTTCAGACAAGATTCTGATGATTGGCAAACACTCTATTGAAACAAAATGCTAATTAGACCCAATTTAGACTGAGGTCCTTCCCATAGATAATCCCTGTACTTCACTGAATAAGTCATGATTCAAAGCTCATTATTTCCATGTTATCATCATCGTCAGCATGATGACACTGAGTGGACCAGATGGGATTTTTTAAGAAATTGACAATTTTGGTCTAATCCTATTAGACACATAGTGGAATGGTGCTTAGAGAGAGAAGGAGAGATGGATAGCGAGGCGGAGGAGAGCTTGGGATTGTGAATGTATTTGTGCGTGTGACATGGGTTCCCTTCCCTCCGGAGATAATCCCATTAGGCTCTGAGGATTAGGGCCTGCCTACAGGTACCTTGGTTGGGGCTGAGAGCGGGGCGGAGCGCTAAACTGCTTGCTGCTGCGCTAATTACATTTCAGATGAAAGTGTTAAGATGGAGGAAAGGGCTTCATGTTACGCCGTATTCTCCTGCTGAATGAGGCCGAGGCTATTTAGTTTAACATGGATATATCTTGGGAGATCGTCAATCTGTGGCATACAGTAATGAGGGGAAGAACACATGTGGAGGAGAGGACACATCTAGGCCTGGTAGCGTATTTATGTAAAGCTGTCAGGGACTCGTTGTGGTAATTCTAGCTGCAGGGGATGCATGTATGAATCATGTACCACTAATAAAGGTTGCAGAAAAGGATTTCATGTTGTTGCTAAAGTGGGACCTTTATCTGATTTGACCGCGTAAATGACTTTAACAAGATAAAAAATCATCTAATTTTCAGAATTTGTATTTATACAAAGAGTATCCGAATCAAGATCAGGTTTAGGAAAGGATAAAGATATTAGTTGAAACTAGGATAAGGATTAGATTAGCTAATGAGACATGTGCTACTAATGTGTGTTAAAGAGGCCCTTTTGGGTTTTCCCATTGGTGTGTTATATAGGTTTTTGTGCATGTAAATAGGCCTGTCACGATAATTAATTTTGTTGGACGATACATTTTCCCGGAGATTAATGCGATAAACGATAATATTGTCAGCACCATTGTGAGACCCTTTTAGACCACTGACATAATGATAATATATAATAATAATTCAAGTACATCCTTTCAAACTGAACTTTTTATTGAACATTCAACATTGCAAATGAAATGTGAAATAATATTCAAATATATAAATTATATATAATAAATAAAACAAATACATTAAATTATAAAAAATTAATTAAAATCACACAACCAAAACAATAAATTAAATAGACTCTAACCATCTATCAATCAATAAATCAATATATATATAAAAATAAATATCATATCATATCCAAATCTGTATTGCAAAGATTTCGAGCAAGGAACACCAACATGTCGGGCAAATGCATCTTTGATTGCAAACTTTAGGGAAGGTGGGGGCTCTCCATCTCCAGCTGCCGTGTTTGCTCCCAGCTGGGAAAACGGAATGGGGTGGTTGTGTTTCAGGTGCAGTTTAAGGTTGGTCGTATTGCTAGCTTTTGTTGCTACCTTTTTAAAACAAATGCGACACATGGCCCGGCTCATTCAAGTCCGTAGGTTCACCTCGTTGATTTGGCTTAAATCCAGGCCCGGTTCCAGAACAAAATGACTCAGGGTGCATCTGAGATTAGAGAGGGTGCAGTGGTAAAGTGCTATTTTTATAAGTGGGGAGTGGACCTAACACCCTCTAGGAGGGTCCTCACCTCCTCTAAGGGGGTCCGGGGGCATGGTCCCCCGGGAAGATTTTTTTTTAAATATTGAAGTTAAAAGCATCAATCTGGTGCACTTTGAGAGCAACATTAAGAGATCTATGGATGTGTTCTTTGCTTGATTCATGCCTTCCCAGTCCCTTATCACGTACAAGAGCATGGCGCCAGTTGTTGTAGCCCGTTGTGGTGAAGGCATCTGACTTACTTGAACCGAAATGTCTACATGCATGGCAGAAGATGGCATCTTTTTACATGAATATTCCAGCCAATCTCTGTTTTGAAACCATGAGCTGCAAAATGAGCGCCTTACCCCACTGTACACGCGAGTTGGGTACTTTTTTAAATATACCTGGGCAGGCTCTGTTTTGCCGAGGTCCTCTGGGACTTGTGGGGCGCCGAGGGGTGGCGGTGTTTGGGGCAACGAAGACGGCTGCGGCTGCTCTGCCTCCGTGGGCGAGGCGGGCAAAGCCGGCGAGTCGGGCGGGAGGACGTTAGTGTCCACGACAGTGAGAACAAACGTAACGTAATGTCCCCATGATCTGAACTGTTATTACCTGCAGTAGATGCAGTGTTACTGCTGGCGATTAGGGCTGGTTGTTTTAACCATTTTCTGATATCCATCACTGACTGCTGTGTAAGCACCTTGCAGATGACGAACGGGCAGCGGCACAGGTCACGCGCACCTGACATAATAACGTTACTTACCGTTTAAATTGACCAAATAAATGCAGCAAACAATGTTACACAATTACAATTTATTTTATTTCAACTAAATTATTCTTATTATTATTACTACTATTATTATTATTATTATTATTATTATTATTATTATATATGTAATATTTTTCACTTTTCATTTTTTTTCTTTCACTTTTCATTTTTCAAATGAGGGTGCATAACGACTCAACTGAGGGTGCAATGCACCCTTATGCACCCCCGTAGAACCGGGCCTGCTTAAATCCAAAATATTCCCACACCGGAGATGGAATTAGGTTTTGCAACCAATTCCATTTAACTTCAAATTCCCCTCGAGTAACAGTCACACGT